TCTACGTAGCATGTGTCTCAGGTCAAAATGATTAATTTGCTTGATTCTTTGATTGCCATCTGAATCTTCTTCCACAAGACCATAAGCTCCAGGAGGGTAGAATCAGTGACTGTTCTGCCCAACCTTCTAATCCCCAATACCCTGTGCATAGGGCTTCTTTAAGTGACCCTTACTTTTATGAATGAGTGTGTGCATGAATGATACATGTTGGCCCTGTTGGCTATGTTGCCGCCCATAGTCCATAAATTTGGTGCTCTCTAAATATCTTTCTGATTCAACTCATCTTCTGTAGGAAGTTTTAATAAGCACCTTCCTGTAGTTCATGAGAGGCATCTCACATTCTGAAATAGCATGAATGGTATGTACAGAGTCATGGGTGCTTCTTATGTCCCATGCCTGATCTGATGGGATGGTGGGAACAGTGGGGCCTCCTTCACATATGACTTAGAAAAGTCCTGTACTTGCCAACCCCTGCCTTGGCATCTGGGTCTCAAATCTACCTTTTGGAGGCTCTAAAATGCTGCTTTTGATTAGGTTAGGTGCAAGGGGGGAACAGTGGGGATGGAAGCAAGCTGGAAACTCAGGAGCTGTGATTTTTTTTCTTGTTGGGAAGTCACCTAAGCTTAGCTTGTTTGGTAGCAAAGCAGGACAGCCAGGAAGACTCATTAGCAATTGGCGCAAATGAGTAAGAGCTAACATCTGGTCCTTTGTGGAAAATTCCTGTAGCTACAGAGCTGGAAAAAGACTTTCACTCTATTATTAAAGGGATCAGAAATAGGTCTTGTGCTCTGTGTTCTGTATGCTAGTCATTGATGAATGATGACACTGTCTTTATGGTCTCACGGAAAGCAATCTGATGGTTACCATCAGCAGCACTGTGTCTTAGAGAGTGGGCATGGGTGCCAGCAGCTGAGCTCTATCCTGCCCTAACAGAGGCTTCTGTAATTTACATTTTTAGTGACCCAGTGGAAAGGGATGAGAGATAGAGACTCTGTTTAGGATGCAATCTCTGCCACCCTCTTTGTGTGATCCAGAGAAAGTCATTGACTGGTTCTTCCAGATAGGAACACTCCCTGTGATAGGAGAGAATGGAGGTGGAACAGAAGCCCTGAGGAGAGAGGTGGCAACTCAGAGTTCAGGGTGATCTGTTGGAGACTGGATCCCCATAGGGTGGGCTGGGTGGTCATCAGGAAGCAAGGACCATGCAGATGCATGGGTGGAGGGGGAAATGTGTAATAAGTAGAAGTGAAAAGATGCGGAAGGCAAAATTAGTTGCATCACATGCTTGACTTCATTGTACTTATATTGGGCATTTAAGCATTTAAAGCTAATTAAATTGATTCAAAATCTTTTGTGAGAGACAAAAATAGAGTTGTAAATGTTAATTAGGCTACAGGATATTTGCATCATGTAAAACTAGGCAGTAGGCCACCCACCATGGCTAGATGATTCATTACATTGAGGTAAATTCAATGCATGTAAGTAAATGCCACTCCAAGGCTTTCTGTGGTTGACACTCTGCTTTCTGCTGGGCTACCATGTATTTCTTCACACTGTACTTATATTAAGGGTCTCTGTCCCTTCAAGTGAATGCAATAGGAGCATCAAAGACACACCTGTGAATGCCTGCTCTGTCCATTGCTTTGGCAAGGCAAAGAACTGAGTAGGTCCTTCCTTCCTTCCTAAGCAGCTGTGCTTTCGCCTCTGGACCTGATCATTCCACCCAGAGCTCACTGGGGCTGAATAAGCTGTGAATACTTTCAGTCTCTAGCTATGCTAAGAAGTGGCCTAAGGCATAATGGTGATGCGTTGAGTCCACAGTCTTCTCAGGAATTTCAGCGGAAGATAGAGCTAGGGTCAATCAGTTGCAGGCAGAACCTTAGCTGGAAAGCCCTTGGAGTAAAGGCAGAGTGTTAAATCATGAAAAAAACATCACAAAAACACAAAACCAAGAGTAAGTTAATGCCACGAAGTTGGCCGATTCCAGGGCATGGGAGCCTATTGATTGGTTGAGCACCTGGAGAACTAAGGTCATCTCATGGCACAGGATAATCTGGGTATGGCAGTAATGAGCTCTATTGGCTTCTTCTAGTTTCTCAGTTGTGCTCTGAGGCTCAGCTGAGTAGTTCGAGTAAATCTGGCCAGGACAGCTTCTTAGTTAGTGCTCCTCCCTGACCTATAGCTTAAGGTACAGAAAGAGTATCGTTCCTCTATGCCAAAGAGCCAATCCCACAAATGTGCGTCTGTGTCTGGCTTGTGTAACTCTTTTGTTTTTTATTTCCTATAAGTGCTCAGTGTGGTTTTACCTCTCATCTTTATTCCTCTCTTCCTCGGTTCCAACCACTTGTCAGTTTCTTTGTCCAACATCCTCCACTGCAGACAGGGTCAACTCACAACGAGGATTGGTAGAACCAATCTTCTAGTCATCGAAGGCTCCTCTAAACACAGTCTGGTAATCCTGCCTTTGACTTCCTGATCATAATAAACTTGACAGTTTAGCTCAAGTAACTTAGCTGTTAGAACAGCTTAGTGCATATCCTAATATATAATGGTAGACACTTACTAAGTGCTTACTGGATGTCCAAACCCATGCAGGGTGCTCACAGATGTTATATTACTTAATACTCTAGCAGTCACCCTAAAAAGGTACTACTTTCTCATTTTACATATATGTCATAGGCTTACAGAAATGAGATGTCTTGCCCACGATTCCATGACTGTAAGTTGTGGAAAAGATTTGAACTCAGCTGTGTTGTGATTCAAAACATATATTCTCCTTTTTAAAATATTCCTAAGCTTTATCTATTTTTTTAAAAAAAGATTTATTTATTTATTTGAAAGCCAGAGTTACACAGAGAAAGGAGTGACAGAGAGAGACATCATCCATCCACTGGTTCACTCCCCAAATGAGTGTGATGGCAGTGGCTGGACTAGGCTGAAGCCGGGAACCAGGGGTTTCATCTGGGTCCCCCACATGGATGCAGGGTCTTAAAAACTTGGGCCATATTCTATTGCTTTCTCAGGCCATTATCAGGGAGCTGGATTGGAACTTGAGCAGCTGGGACTTGAACCGGCGCCCAAATGGGATGCTAGCACTGCAGACGGCAGCTTAACCCACTGCACCACAGTGCTGGCCCCAAAACACATATTCTTAATGGCTGTTCCCTAGTGTTTCATAATGTTGTTAGTTACTATACACTCTTCTTCTACAGAGAATATTTAATGTATTCTTCTTTGCCCCTTTAATGTTTCATTCATGGGACTGGTGCTGTGGCATAGTAGGTAAAGTTGCAATATGGGTGCTGGTTCAAGTCCCAGAATCTCCACTTCAGATCCAGCTCCCTACTTAAGCACCTGGAACAGCACTGGAGGATGGCCCACATTCTTGGGCCCCTGCTCTCATGTGGGAAACCCAGAAAAAGCTCCTGGTTCTTGGCCTCAGCCTGGGCCAGCCATTGCAGCCATTTAGAGAGTGAACCAATGATGGAGGATCTCTCTCTCTCTCTCTGTCTCCTTCTTTCTCGCTCTCTGTAACTCTTTCAAATAAATGAATAAATAAGTAAATCTTAAGAAAAGGTTTCAGCTGTACATTAAAGTTCTGGACATCTCTGTTCAATTTGCTATAGATAGCTCATTTTATCCTGCTTTTTTTCTTCACTCTATTGTTCTTTGTTTTGAATAAATTTATCTTGTCTTGTGACAAGATACAAGACAGTAAATACTTTAGAAGATAGACAGAAGTGATAAATAAATGACCATTGTTTGTTTAAAAAGATAAGACCCTCCTTGATCTTTCAGAATGACTCAATATTATGTGCTGTTTTTCTCATGGGTATATAAATTCTGTTGTTAATTTATCAGCCTTGGTGTAAGCCATCTATTTTCCATGTTAAGTATATTTTCATGGAAGCAGAAAATCTGAATAGAGGAAACAAATGGCAAGACCTTATTGAATAAGGATTGATGCCAATTCTGTTTATCACTATAAATGTAAGCAGGTGAAATTAAAAATGTTCAAGATTGCACTTTCATCAAATGTTAGATTAATGAACATCTTGCTGTATTAAGCTTGCTGCATAAAATATAGAGTTCAAGACTTCATTTTCCTTAAACAATATTTCATATATGTAACTATACATATTTCATATATATTATATTTATATATAATTATTATTTTATACTATTATATTGCCATTATATATTTACATTAATATTAATTAAATATATTATGTACTTTTTTGGACATGAGTAGGGCCTGGAGGTGGGCATCTGAGAACTAATATAGTGGCTTTTTGATCACTTGAGTCCTAGGCTCCTTCTAAACGATGTTTGCCCCAAAATCAGCATATCTTGAATTTCTTTTTCCACAAACATTTTGAATATGTTATTATATATGTTAGATATGTTTTTGGCAGCAGGTAACCTATGAATAATGATGCATGAGACAAAAAAGTTTTATTTTCATAACATGCAAAAAGCTTGTAAGTTTGTGATCCAGAGCTGGTACTGTTGCTTAAAGATGCCTTCCAAGCTGGGCTATTTCTTTCTTCCCAACCACACCTGGAATGTTGGTGTTCCCCTCCAAGCTTACAGGGAGATGGCTGCATCACCAGGGGGCATTGTGTCTGCTTTGCATGTAGGAAGGAGGGGGAAGGAACAAACAGCCACAAGGCAAGAGTCTGCGCCTCTCCAAAAACTTTGCAAGAGGTCCTCTTGGGCCAGGACTGTCTCAAGACCACCTCTAGCAGCTGAAGGTTCTAGCTAGTAAAAAACATAAGTTGCATGCATTTCTTGGGCAAATCAAATGGAGATTCTGTTGGGAGGGAGGAAGGGGAGACAAGAGCTGTGTGTGCTGCAGAGGGCTCTGCTCAGGTAACTGGGCCACTGCAGTTGTTCCTACTGTCTCCCCCTCTCTCCCACCTTTCTCTCTGACCCCTCCATGTCATAGTTCCTGAGATTAATTTCTCTCCTTCTCCCCCGCCTTTCACGTCTTTGGCTAGGTGAGAAACCTGGAAACGAGCCTGAAGAAGTGAAGCTGCAGAATGCCAGCAAGCAGATTGTGCAGAATGCCATCCTGCAGGCTGTGCGGCAAGTCTCCCAGGAGAGCCGGCGGAGGGACGCCAGAAGCAGTGACAGCCGGGGTTGCTTCCAGCTGGGTGTGGGAGAGTTAACCAAGAAGCACGAAAAGAAGTAACGCAGTAGATCTGGCTCTGGTCATACGCTTGGTTTCCAGCCTTCCTCTTAGTATAGGATGCGTCGCCAAATCGTTGCCAGTAAAGCAAACCAAAGTGTCACCGACACCTAGTAGTAGAATGAGTTTACACTTGCCCTTGTCTGAGAAGCAGTTCTGAAAACGTGCATTAGATGATTCTGATTGCATTTATGCAGTGCCTCTGACACATATTGGGGCAAAACATGGCCCTGAAATTGCAGAAATAGCTTTGCAGCGCAATTTAGTTTAAGTCAATCTTTTTTTCCTTCCTTCCCCCTACTCATCCAATCTCCTTCCTTCTTTCTTTCCCTCCTTCCTTCCCCTTCTTCCCTCCCTCCTTTCCTTTCTCCTTTCCCTCCTTTTACTCTTCCCTCTTTTCCTCCCTCCTCCCCTCTCCTCCCCCTTCCTCTCTGCTCCTCTCCTTCTCCCCTTCCTTCTTGTCCCCTCCCCTCCCCTCTTCTCTCTCTCCTCTTTCTCTCTTTCCCTCCCTTCTTCCCTTCTATTCTTTCCAATTGGGATTCTCAGTCTTTTTTATTTACTCTGCCTTTCACGTATTCTTCTGTGAATTTAATCAGCAGTCTTCGGTTGTTGTTCTGATATGTTGGGTACAGAGTTGTGAACTTTACAATATTTTAAGAGATGCTAGAAAGGTGAGGGGATGTAGTTTTAGTTCCTTTCAAATATGGAGTTGAAGGCTTTTATGAAGTGAGTTCAGGTCCAAGATCAATTCAGCAAAGACAAATTGTAAGGCCAAGTCCCTGAGGATCATAGCAAGGCATATATTTATATTACTTTTAAAAGGGGAGGAGTTAAGGATTTTCAAGAACTCAGTCTTTTAATCCCAGCTCTCGGGAATATTACAGATTTCTTTTCCCATCTCCAGGATTAAATGAAAGAACACAAATGAATCTATACATGACCTGCCAATGACCCGATTCTTCACCAGCCTCATAAAGAACCAGCACTGTAGTTTTCCTCCACTACTGTGCATCCTGAATAATCAGAGTCTGGTGTGATTAAGGGGTGTAGCATCCTTGGCAGGAACTCTAGGGCCTTACAAATACTGAGTTGTCATCAGACTATGCATTTGCACTGGTACTTTAACCCTTGTAACTTTCTTCTTCCATAAATCAGATTTTTTGATATTATGAAAATCATACAGGTCAGGAATAACACTTTTTGTTAAGGATATAGAACACCTTGTCTTTCAAGTCTCTGTGGCATGACAATTCAGTGGGATAATAAAGCGACAGTACTGTGAAGCGGCCACAGAGATAAGTGTGTATGTGTGTAAATAATGCCATCTCTGTTGTGACAGCATGACTTCCTGTTCCATCTCTATGTGGATAATGCATGTTTGTCTAAAGTCATTAAAATACTATTTCTTGGGCTTCACAAAAGTGACTGAGTGGTGCTACTGGGCACGGAGGAAGACTTTGGCCCTGGTTAAAAACTCTGGCTTCAGAAATATCAATGTCAAATTTGAAAGTTTTTTTAAAGCAAAATATTATAAAATGTGATTGATATATTAAGATAGACTTTTAAAATTACAATATGTTGCGCTTCCCAGAATGGACACTGAAGATAATTGTAGATGATTGAGAAACTTCTCTTATCAACTCTATTAAGACTATCTTTACTGTGCATAGATGGAATAAATTTTATGAGAGAATGGATGAGGGAAGAAGCAGAAGTATTGAGTTAAATATTGTTTCTACATAAATATAATTTAGCAGAACAAATGGCAACTGAAGAATGAATTTAATTTGACTTAAAGTCATAAAACTGGCATAATACAATTGCCTAGCATGGATAGAGGGAATGAAGGCATTCAGGGAAATTATTCAGGTATGCCCACAAGTAAAAAATAAACCCAATGCTTATAGTTTTCAAGTGACTAGGCACTGCATCTCCTAAAATGTCTGGCTATAACCAACCTTGGTTTGCATTGTCAAATGGCCAAAACATATCAACATGCTATCTTTCCTCTCTGATGTGTCTGTGCTAATGAACTGGGGATCCTCAGAACATCTTGTCAACCTCTGTGTCTAAATGTTTATAAATAAAATATATCCGGCTTTGAAATACGTTGTCCTTGTAAGTAAAATTTTCTATCCCTAATGTTTGGCTCATTTTCTCATTTTGCATGTGGATCTTACCAGTGTAAGACACTTCTAGTCTTTCCCTTTATTAGGGTTAGTATACTTTTGGACAGGCAGAGTTAGACATTGAGAGAGAGAGAGAGGTCTTCCATCCTTCCATCCGCTGGTTCACTCCCCAAATGGTCACCAACAGCCGGAGCTGTGCCGATCCGAAGCCAGGAGCCAGGTGCTTCCTCCTGGTCTCCCATGCGGGTGCAGGGCCCAAGCAGTTGGGCCATCTTCCACTGCCTTCCAGGGCCACAGCAGAGGGCTGGACTGGAAGAGGAGCAACCGGGACAGAACCGACGCCCCAACTGGGACTAGAACCCTGAGTGCCGGTGCCGCTGGTGGAGGATAAGCCTAGTAAGCTGTGGCGCCAGCCACTTCTAGTCTTTCCAAAGTCTGTTTTCAAATCCTTGGTTTCATGGCCAGGGGAAGTGCTTCGTTTATGGGCTCTTCCTTGTCAGTGTCTTGGGATGGTACTTCCTAAGGCTTGAATGGAAACCAACCTATGTTAAGAAAGACTTTTTGCTCTCAGGAAGTAGAGGTAAGTGGATCTGGAAGGTCAAGTGTCTATTATGATATCTTCCAAGATAGGAAGTCTAGAGCCAAGAACTGAGATACTGAGAAACTCTTAGCGGACAAAAGCAAGTTAAGTAACTCCTACATTCATTAGACAGGTACCATATTGGCAAAATCCTAGGAAAACTCAGTCATAAGAATAAATGTATTCATTGAGCTTACACCTACAAACTATCCATATGAAGATAAATTTATTGGGTTTTATGAAGGTACTTCAGAAATTTCTCAGAGGTGCCAGTATTGTGGTGCAGCAGGTAAAGCCACTATCTGCAGATGCTGACATCCCATCTGAGCACTGGTTCCTGTCCTGTCTGCTCCACTTCTGATCCAGCTCCCTGCTAAAGGCCTGGGCATAGCAGCAGAAGATGACCCAAGTGTTTGGGCCCCTGAACCTTTTTGAGGGAGACCTGAATGAAGCTCCTGGCTCTTGGCTTCGGCCTGGCCCAATACTGGTCATTGTGATCATCTTGGGAATGAACCAGCGGTGGAAGATTTTCTCTCTCTCTCTTTTTCTCTCTCTCTCTCTCTCTTTAACTCTGACTTTCAAAATAAATATTTTTAAAAACTTCTTAGAAAGTGGAATTAAAAGATATTTATTTTGGTATAATACTTTAAAATCCATACCCTCAGGAGTCTTCAAACAGTTCATGGAAAATGGGCTTTTTGAAAAACTATGCATGGATCTCATTCTTTTTTCACCAAAATAAACTTTCATGCACTTTTTGAAGTGCCTCATACAAGGGGCCTGAAGAACTTCATTTGACATAGGATTAAGGTTTGTACATAACCTAGCTTTTAGTGTTAGGAATTAATGGGAACATTTTATTTACTGTCTTATTTTCCTGATTTACTATGAGATACAGCATACATTGGCTTCCCAGCTCTGTGTGTCCAGCTGTTCACATTTGCTTTGCCCATCCCTGGGGTAAACTAGAGAAATCCTTTCATGTCACTAGGCTTTCCTGTAATCATTTATTCAGGGCAGAGAATGTGGTGTGTAGACACAGAACAGCCGACTGGCTCTTAGACTTCAATCTCTCTCTTTCTCTCTCTCTTTCTCTCTCGTCCCCATAGTTCTCAGGATCCTGGCTGTTACCTGGTCCAGCCTTGACTGCTGGAACCATTTAGAGATGAACTAGCATATGGAAGAACTCTGTCTCTCTCTTGCACATGCGCGTACCACTCTGCCTTTTTTTTTTTTTAACTTTTATTTAGTAGATATAAATTTCCAAAGTACAGTTTATGGATTACAATGCCCCCCCCCCCCATAACTCCATTGGCCCAACTAAAAAAAAAAAAAAAAAAAAAGAGAAAAGCCACTCTGCCTTTTAAATTAACTGATTCATTAACACTTTTTAAGAAGACGGAAGAATAAAGCTGCCTTACAAAATGCTTATTGAATAAAAAATTTGACAAAGATACTGAAAGTCCAGCAGAAATATTTATTGATAGAAAAAGCTCAGTGCTACTAACCTTAAAAATGGTAGCTAAGGAAAGACACAGGAACTCCAAAGGGAACAAAAAGGAAGATCACAGTACAGCGTGGACATGCATTCCTCTTGCTCATGTTCCCTACGAGCCACGTTGGCAAGTGCCTGAAATCCTCAGGCATGTGTGAAGAATGAAGGATGACGTGTGAGACTTTATCCTTTGTCTTCTGGTTACAGTGTAGTGGAAGTAGCTACTGGAAGATGAAGAAACCGAAGGAGTTCCTCTTAGACAAGAGTGGCAACCCAATCTTCCAGAAATGAAGAAAGAGAAAAGGAAATGTGATCAAGAGAGTAAGATTTAGGCAGGACAGGGGCACAGGTACCCAGGCAGAGAATCTGAAATAATTTACTCACTTGAGCTTGCTTTACAGAAAGCGTTCTAGGAAAGTTTATCTTGAAACATCATATTGGGTGTGATGGCAGGCCACTACAAGGAAAGCCCAAGAAACCTGTCTGAGTCAGACTTTGAACACAGTGTATGATGGTGGATGTTGCTTGAGCAGGAGGTCTTCCTGCTTCTCCTTTTCTGTATTCTGGACACTCCCCTAACTCTTGCTATGGAAACCCTGGCAGACTGGTACTCAAAGATACAGTTTGTTTAAGGAATTATACCTCTCTACTGTCTCATTTACTTGTCACAAATAAAGATTCCCTTGAGGATGATTATTTGGTGACTCCACCCCCATGGAAACAGACCCTTTGTTTCTACTAACATAAGCAAGGAAGGAAGGGAGAGGAAAAAGCATGATTATCTATCTATCTATCTATATTTACATATATACACACATATATATACATGCACATATATATATATACATACACATGCATGTACATGGATGTCTACTCATATCATATTCTAGGAAATGGAAACAATATGCTCAATAGCAAAACTTTCAGAATAAAACACAAACTCTTGAAACTTCTGCATAGAGAGAAAGTCATTTACAAAGGAAAATATTATGCTGGCCTCCGACTACTTGATAGCAATATTCAGTGGCCTACTCTGAAGGCGATGCAGCTACAAGGGAGCCCTGAAGGAGGGAAAGGATGAAGTAAGGCTATTACTCCTAAACAATGTCACTGAAGAATAAACCCAAGTATCAAAGACACCCACAAACTTAAAGGTAGTCAACTGATACTAAAATTCCTTTGTCAAAAAACCATGAACTTCCACTAAAGCAAGATGAATTAAAATAAAATCATAGGAGTAAAGGGGCTGTGGCCAAAGGACTAATGAAAAAGAGTGTGGCTATGGAATGGATATTATATAACTGTGAAAATTATGGCTAAGAAGAAGGTAAATTATTATATATATTTTAAAAGATTTGTTGATTTATTGAAAGAGTGACAAAGGAGGAGAGGGAGAGTCGGAGGGGGAGGGAGAGAGAGAGAGGGAAAGGGAGGGAGGGAAATAGGGAGAGAGGGAGAGAGGGAGAGGGGGAGAGGGAGGAGTGTGGGGAGCAGCCCGGACTGGACTGAGTTACTGGAATTAAGACTTATTCTGTGCATCTGCTCTCCCACAATATGGCGCTGGGAGAGAAGTAAACAGCTTCCGCACAGCTGCCTCCAGTTCAACCAATAAACTGTAGGACTTGCTACTGATTGGAGGAGAGCAGCGTACTCGGCGTGTGGGCAGCCGAGTTAGGATTGGCGGAGGAGGACTATAAAGGAGGAGAGAGACGGCATGCACCAGGAACATCTAAGGGGAACATCTAGCTGAAGGAACATCTGTGCAGCCCCCCAGAGAGCCGGCCGGCGGTGTGCCGCTCCCCTGCGGAAGTGGGGAATGTGGCCAGGGGGAACTGCCCTTCCACGGAGGTGGAAGGGATAGTAGCCAACCCGGGAAGAACCAGCAGCAAACCCGGGGAGGGCCGAGCAGACGAAAGAACAGCGCAGGGTCCTGTGTCGTTCCTCCACGAAGAGGGGGAGCGACATAATGGTGCCGTGACTCGGATAGGAAACCTAGGAGGGAAGAAACGGGAAGAAGTGGAAAATACCGGAGAGAGAGACTAGCAAAGAGCCTAGGGGAAAGCCGGATGAGAAAGGTGCCGGCAGAAGCTATTGAAAGCCTAGGCATAGACTCGGATACGGACTGTGGGAAAGAAGTTAGGATTGAAAGCGAAAGTGAAAGCTTTCATAGACTCGGATGCGGACTATGGTGGGGAAGCTAGGAGATTGAAAGCGAAAGTGAAACCTGGAGGAGGCTTGGACTCGGATACGGACTGTGGGGAGAAGCCAGGAGAAATGAGAGGAATATTGTGGGAAGAAAACTTAAGGAAACATACCGGGTAGAGAAAAATGTTAGGGAGGATGAAGCCGCGAGTGCAGGCCAAGGCGGAGACATAAGCCACCTTGGAATTCTTCAAGTCACCCCGGGGAGCAAGAGGCGAAGATCTGGAACCAGAGGCAGAGACGTGGGCCGCCAGGATTCGCCAGGTTAGTCCGGGGAACTTGGACTGAATGCCGGTGGTGGCGGAAACATTCGCGGAAGCCGCCGCGTGCAGAGAGAGCACGGGGCGTGAATAGATAGGGAACGGGGCTGGCGCGAGGCCGTGGTTCAGACGCGAAAGGGTTAAGTGCGAGACTGTGGAGTGTGCGCGCAAAGCGGGCTGAAGCGGCTCAGCTGGAAAGCCGGGGAGAAGCAGCCTCGGGGCGGGCGCAGCCGGGAAGCTGCGGGGATAAGAGAAACAGAAGTTTTAGAAGTAAAGTGAGAGAAATAGGAATGCTGGAAGATAGAAGTGGAATGGGAGAAATAGGAATGCCCGGAGATAGAGAAATAGAGAAATAGAAAGGCCTCCCCTCAACATGGCAATGAGAGAGCTTGGATTCAGTCTGCCTGATTAAGTGAGGCGATGAGCACCTGCGGGCAGCT